GGATGCAGTATCAGGCTTTCAGTGCTTATGCACACATAGCCTTCATCCTTTGTGTGAATTTGTGCCCAAGAGATTTAATCACCATCGGATTGATCCCAGGCGGAAGCCTGGTGGATTTTTTTTTAGAAAGAAATAATTTCATGTGTCCAGTAACTAAACATTCAGGATGAATGGAACACAGAGGACACACCAAGAAAGCTAGCTGTGCCACCAGAAATTGTACCTTCCTCTGAGGAAGAGCACATCTCAGAACCACAGGTGAGGTTAGTTAGGCTTTCAGACATATCACTTTTCCATAGCATAGAAGTCTCAGGAGACACACATTTATCACCTCTTGAAGAGTCCAGCTATTGATCAGCTTGTTCAGCCTGTTCCGAAGGATAAATCATTTCCCAGGAGGCTCATTGGGATCCAACGAAAAAGCATTTTGTAGCTCCGGCCTCTTTAGGTTGTGGGGCCCAATTTCACTGTGGTAGGGGCCGGGGTCCTCACAATAAGCCATTTTCCCACCAATGGGACATCCTGCAATTCAGTTCTGACACTGTCTACCCAGAGATTGAAGGCTCAGTCTTATAAGACTACCCTGTCCCCCGCCACTCTGATTTCAGCCACCAGCCCCAAGGCCAGGCTTCTGACAGACTGGCTACAAATTGGAGGTTGCAGTTGACCCCTTTCCCACTCAGGGTGCCCAGTGCCAGTCCAGTTGGTCATCTGTACTTCTGACCAAATGGCTGTCAATCAGAGGTTCCCATGACCACCTTCTTGGGTTCAATTAACTTGCAAGAGTGTCTCACAGAAACATGCTGATTACCAGGTTATTGGTTTACTCGAAAAGGATACCCGAACTTGGGAATAGCCAGATGGAAGAGATGCTCATGGCAAGATCTTTGGGAAAGGGCACAGCTGCCCTCCCACTGTTGTCCTCTTCTTTACAACAAAACTCCTTGGAAAAATTTCAAGAATTGTCTATCAGTCTCTACTCCTTCTCCTCCCATTCTCTCTTAACAGGCTGTCATCCACCCCACTGCACTGGAACAGCTCTCCTAAGCCTCCTGAAGGTCCCCAGGTTGGCCACTTCCAGCGTCCAGTCTTTGTTCTCCGACCTGACGTGTTGGCTGCATTTGATGGAGAGGAAGGTCTTCCTTCATGAAACGCCCTCTTGGCTTTGGGCCACCTCTCTCTTTCTGTTTCCTTCTGTCTGGTTGACGACTTCTGCTCACTCTTCAGCTCCTCACCTCTGCACGTTAGGAAGCCCAGGGCCCATCTCACTCTCTCAGTGATCTCATCCTTTTGCCAGACTTAATGAATTCCAAACATCCGCCTCTAGCTTAGACTTCTCTCTAGATGAAAGACTCTCACATATCCAGCGCTGAAGGCATTTTTTTGGGGGGGTGCTAATTAGAAAAAGCCGCCCCTTTCCTCAAGCACTTGACTGCCATCTTCTGGGAAATTTTCAGAATAAACACACCTTGCAGATGGCTGTGAATGAGCATGGTGTCTGCACAGCTGTGGAATCCTAGCCATGAACAGCAGCCCGTTTTTCCACAGGGTGGGTGTGAAAGGGCATCACAGGCCCCCAACTGGACTCTTGATCCCCATCCCCCATCCCTCCATCCTCTTCCTTTTAGTCATTTCTGTTTCAGAAGTTCTTCCCCTTGCTGAGGTCACACTTCTTGAAGTTGTCCTCCACTCTTCTCTTTCTCCTGCACTACAGCTTTAATCCGTCAGTGAATCTGTGGGTTTTTCCTTCCCAATACATTAGAATTTAACCATGAAACACCACTCTCACTGCTGCTATACTGATCTGAGTCCCATCATCTCTCTCACCTCTATTATTCCAAAAGCCAGCTTCCTCTTTTGCTCCACATTGTCTGTTCTCAATGCATTAGCCACAGTTACCTGTTTAAAACCTGGCCACCTCTTCTTTCTTCTCTACCCCAAACCTGTCAATTGGTCTGATTGGATCTCATCTCATAGCTCCTCCTCTGTGAGCTCTGTGCTTCGGGCATGGGCCTCCTTGTTGTTCCTGTGCACATCTGCTTCAGGCATTTCCGGGATGCTCTTACATAAAGCATGGCTTATTCCCTCCTTTCATGAGCATATCAGAGAAGCCTTCCTCAACCAAAGCATATAACAAAGTAACCCTTTCCCCCAGCATTTAACACCCCCCTTACTGTTCAGTCTTCTCCATTGCACTGATTGTCTGGTGTGCACACACATCGTTTATTGTTTCTCATCATTGGGGTTTAAACTTCATGAGGCTACATTCCCAGTTTCTAAAAACAGTGCCTGCCTGGCAAGTAGAAACTCAATACATATTAGTTGAAACATACAAAGATCCCTAAATCTAGCTGTGGGATTCTATCGTTAAAAACACCCAAAGGTTTGAGATGGTCCTGCACAATTGTAATCTCTCAATTCCAAAATAAAAACATTTTCAGGACTCCAGGGATGAATTTAAATCTCACCTGAAAATTGCATCGATTTTACAACCTTCTAGAAGGGCATCCGTTTCCTACAGAGAAAGCAAATAGGCGCCATCTAGTGGCACCAAGAGAAGACTGCATTTGTGTTACTTTATGATTCAAAAGCTTATTAATCCTGTGAAAGTGGTACTTATGATCATCCTAAATCCTCAAGTGTGCATTTTCCACAGAATATATTAACCTAGAAAGTACATTACATTTCTTCTAAAACATCTATAACTTATTTTTACTTACTAATTTTTGTTTTCAGGGATTTAGCATTTTTTGTTCCTCTCTACTTTTCCTATTGTTTTATCCTCTGCTTATCTTAAAACTGTTTACATTCACAGGGTACTGGCCTAGTCATTGGGTATATAAATACAGGCTCTCTCTGAGAATTATATCCTAATAAAAACAGCATGTATGAGGGAGACGTGTGAAAGAGCTTGCTAAGCGATGCAGTAACTTCTTAAAACCAGCATTCCGAAGCCCATTGAAGGCTTTGGTGTTGAGTATGTCCCCACCATTGGGCAGTGAGCTTTCGGAGTCTCAGTGTGCCATTTTCCAGAAAATGCACATATAATGATACGCCGGAGAAATGAAGGTAGAAACATTTGTGCCCACGCTCACTGACAGGAGAGACAGGAATTAATCACAGTCTCAGGCTGCCAGTCAAACTTTGAAACAGTTGGGTCCTTACAGTGCTTGTTAAATTAAAGCGGAAACTCGTCAGTCCACTTCGGGAGCCTGTGACCTTTCCGGCCGGGAGCAGCTGGGTGGGGCTGGGCAATGCGTACTGCCACCAGGAAACCAGAGCAGCACCCATCAGTCCAGCAGGTGAAGGTCATGACAAGAGAGGCCGGGGAAGATGGACTCTGTGTGCCCATGCTCAGGTTAATCAGTCTGGAGGAAGACTTTGAGTAGCTTCAGGGGGCAAAAGTTGGACCAATGGAGTATGATACGAAAGCAGATTTCATGCCAACGTTGAAAGCATTTTTCAATGACGGTGTTTTCCAAAGAGATCCTAGTCTCAGGTCCCTCATTAGTGAAGATTCAAGCAGAGGCTGGATGATACCGACCAAGGATTTGCTGAAGTTATTAAGATTCTCTGATTCCTGGCTTTCTGTCTGCACACATGGAAACCCTCCCTACTCTTCAACGCTCAGTCCATACCCCGCTTGTTTGTTGTTGTTGTTGTTGTTGTTGTTGTTGTTGTGAGCACTGCAATAATCTTTAGCTCCTAAGCTGATGCTCTGCTACTTGAAGACAGAGGACCACATCTCATAGTTGCTCACCTGTTGGCCTTGCCAGAGCAGCTGCAGGTTACATACTCAGGGGGAGAAAGACTCTCAATGCTCCGTGCAGCTGGTCTCTGGACCCACAGCAGCCTTAATGGAGCAATTCTTTAGCTAAGTATTATTATAGAAAAATGAACACATTTGTTAAGACTTGTTCCCTTGTAAAAAATTATAATAATTTTTAGGGGCACTAGTATCAGCTTCTTTTTTCAGCTGTGTTGTTTATCATGTACCTGCTACCCAGGAAAGCAGGTATAGAAATTGATAGTACAGCAGTTGGTAGAATGCTACTGAAATTTAAAAAACAAATTTTCTGCTTATTGGATAGTTATTTTAGAGTTTTTCCTCCAGCCTACAGATATTTTTTTTAGGTTGTAGGTAAATATTTTCTTTGATGTAATACTTTTTTTTTATTTTTCTCTATAAAATATCTTTTAAATTTCAGAAGTTGGGCCCTGGCTGATGTTACTCAGTGGTTAGAGAGTCAGCCTGTACACCGAATGGCCATGGATTTGATTTCTGGTCTATGGCATGTGCCTGGGTTACAGATTCAATCCCTAGCCCAGTTGGGGCACATGTGGAGGCAACCAATGGATGTGTCGCTCTCACATTGATGTTTCTCTCTCTCTCTCTCTCTCTCTCTCTCTCTCTCTCCTCTTTCTTCCCTTTTTTCCACTGTCTCTGAAAAGCAAGGGAAGAAACATCCTTAGATGAGGATTAAAAAAAATTTACAGAAGTTGGTGTGGCATTTTGAATCATATGTTGTAAAGCTAAATTATACCATATATTTTTCTTTTTAAAGAATTAGGTACATTTTGTCTTTAAATCTTTTTGCCTTTGGAAGCTGTATTTATAAAACCTAGCACTCCATCATAATAAAGTGGTGATACTGGAAAAGGATGTGCTAATCGGATTAGAAGATGGGCTTTGTGCGTGCCCTCTAGCTAATTTCTTTGACAATAAGATGCTGCTGTTTGTTTTGTCATTTCAGGGGCCCAAATTCTCTTTAGATTATTTAATAAGCTAGAAGGTTGAAAGCCTGCTTATGGTATTTAATTGCTTCTGTGAACATGAGCAAGTTTAGCAAGCTCAGCATTAGTGCTGTGTTTAATATTTCTACAGTATTAACGGTGTTCTCTTGTTTTGATAGTTGAGACTTATAATTAAAAAACATAGTTTCCTTACAATTATTGCAAGAGTGGATGATTTTAGGTTTTGTTAATTTGTCTTTTTGCAGAATATGCTGAATTTCTACATTGCAAAGGAAAAAAATTTACAGATTTTGGTGAAGTTCGCCATGAGATTGAAGCAGAGACAGACCGAGTGACCGGCATGAATAAGGGCATCTCCTCCATACCCATTAACCTACGAGTCTATTCCCCACACGGTAAGTAAAGTAACACAAGTCCAACTTCTTGTCCTCAAAAAAATTCATGACATCAATTAACATGCATTATTTGTATAGAAGATGGTTTGTTCTCTCAAAAAATTACCAGGTTTCTAGGATAGTGTTTGGATATTGCCATAAATTCTGTGGTCTAAAGTGTTCATAGATTTATTTATGGGGAGGCAGGAGGAGGTGACTTAAAATGATCAGAATTGAGTAAGTAATTTCTTTATGTTTATTTTAAACTTTTAGAATGCCAAAGAGGTATGCTTGAAAGCTTCAGTTTTTCAATACCCTCAGTCTTTGCAAATATCTTAGCGGTGCTTGGTACTATGGTTGAGTCTTCCCTATTAGATTTTCTTGCAGCCCTGTGTATTCTCTTTATTCTCTTCCTTAGTAATCAACTGCAATTTGCTTTCCAGACTATCAGCAATTACAATTTAGACAACCAATTCATTTTAGTGTGGTAGCTTTTTAATCTCTAATTTTCTATCCAGCTCTGTTGCTTTTCAAATGGAACCTGGATGAAGTAAGTTCAATTGCAATGTCCCAAGAAGACTTGGTGTCAATGCTCTTCTGTGCAGGGAACAAGAGCCAGGTTGGGGCTGGAGTCACCGAGTCAGGGGTCGTTGCCTGCTCTCTGGAATGCTGCTCCATGAGACTGGCTGGGGACCATGAATGGTGAACAGCTTTCCAATAGGCTAAGTGGCTAACCCTCTGTGAATAACATCCGATGTTTTTGAAGGGAAGGACAAAGCTTACCCTGAGAACTTGACACCATTTGAAGGCAATGTACTGCATGAGACTGGCAGATAGTGTGTGAACATATGGCCAGTTTTTATCAATACTTATAACGCTTTAGTTGTCGATATGACAGCTCTCCAAGAAAAGAGGCAAGCAAATCAGGGCCATTCAAATTATGTGAAAATGATTATTTGGAATAGCACAATCATATCAAAACAGTGAAAACTTGCAAAGCCATTTCCTATTATTTGCTTTTTATTCTACACACCTGAGTTGGGGTTATTTGGATGCCCCATCTACAAAACTGAGCTTTTTCATTTCCACGAAAATGACAGGTGATTCTGCATAGTTGATGTCTTTTAGCACGGAGGGTACACGTAAGACTCTCTTTCCTGTCTGCACAGTGTTAAATCTCACCTTGATCGACCTGCCTGGGATTACTAAGGTGCCCGTGGGAGACCAGCCGGTGGATATTGAGCATCAGATCAGGGAAATGATCATGCAGTTCATCACGCGGGAAAACTGTCTGATTCTGGCTGTCACCCCAGCCAACACCGACCTTGCGAACTCAGATGCGCTAAAGCTGGCTAAAGATGTGGACCCTCAAGGTGAGTGTGTGGCCCTTAGGATGAAAGGAAATTCATTGAGAATGTAAGGTAATAGCAATTCTCAAAACTTGAATTCATTATTCACTAAATCTGCCATTATTAATATTGTTAGAGCTTTTGTATTTAGGATGTTGAAAAAAAAAATAACTGGGGAATAAAATCTAAACCTATGCAAATAAATGTAATATTAATCGAGATCTAAGAAAATAGACATTTCTAACCTTCGTGCACTACTTATTTTAAAAGTCAATAAAGTAAATATCTGGGACAGAATTTAGACAGTCCCCTTGGTTATTATAAGCACCACCTGAATAATTATTCCCAATAAAGAAATCTATTTTTTATTTCTTTAAAGCAGGAAGCTTTTTTTAACGCATGGAAGATGTTTAACTTACAATTACTTGACATAAATATATATTATAAAAGTAGGGGTTTATTTGTTTTTGGAATTTCAGAATCCAGAAAAGTACCTTATTTATGCTGATGATCTGATTTCTTTTCTTCTTCTGAGCTGAGTAATAACAGTTTATCTGCAGAGACCCTAGTGATGGGTCTTCCTATGTGTCTGTTTAAAGTAACTATGGAGGTGCATCAATGATGTGTCTGTTTAATACGGAGATGTATGGTCTGCAATTCTAGGATTTCTTCTCTGATCATTAATCACCCTCATTTTCTCTCTTCTCCTTATCATTAGCATGTTAGAACTCCTGGATCAATTTCCCTCCCCCCCTTTTTTTTCTCTCTCTAAATCATCTGCTTCCTCATCCTTTTGTTCTGCATCTTGCAGGATTCAGACAACTTTATCTTCAGCTTGTCTAATTTTTCATTTCTGATTTCACTTAATAAGTTGCAACAGCATTTTCCTATTGTGTAAATGTTATTTTTATTGTTTTCTATCCACTCAGCTCTTTGTTTCTTGTGCAGTGTCCTCTCTAAAGGTTTTAACGAGAACATTTTGAGAATTCCTTTTATAATCTACAATGTTTCTGAGTCCATTTTTTCCTGTTGGTTGTTTTGGTCGTTGTCTTTGATCTCAGAGACCTCTCCCAAGGTGATCTGGCGATCTTTTGCTGCTTGTTCAGATACAAGAGCAGAAGCACTAAAAAGCTGAGGGAAGCTCTGAGTGGGCATAAATGAGAGTCATTGACTTTACAAGAGTGTAAGTGGCCAGCCGCTAGATTTCACTGTGATGGTGGGGTTTTCAAAGCTACTGCAGAGCTCAGGAGACAGGAATGGGAAAAGGAACAGTCAAACAGCACAAATCTCACTGTTCTCACTGAGATTCAGTCATTTTTGTTGGAAAAATACCTTTCAGTTTGTTGTAAGCCTTTGATTAATCTCCAGAGTTCTGAAAAAGTTAATTTTGCCAATTTTTGCCAATGTTCTTATTGCTTTTATGGAGGAATGGCTTTCTTAGAGGTTCTTATTCCATTGCATTATTCCCCATTCTTATCTTAAGTAACTTTAATAATCAGGAAATTGTCATGTAAAAGACATTTGAATTGGGATAATGATGGAAATCTGGTCATGACATCTGTGACACTGTTGGTCTTCATGATTAACTTGGTGGCTATGCAAGGGGCCTGTCCTCAGCACTTGATGTCCCTCTTTCCTGAAGTTTTGCCCTTGGCTGAGTAGGATGAACTATTTAGATAACAGAGAACCATTACTTATTCCAGGGTGCCTGACTTATGATCTGATTCACCAAGGTACATAATTGTATAATTTTCTGAGAGGTGGTCTGTTTTAGGCAGTAGCTACTTTGTACTAAAGTAAGGCCATTTTCATCTATGTAGGACTTGCATATACTAGTATTTAAATATGGGGGGGATGGTGTGAGCAAATGTAGATTTACGGTTGTGAGTACATGAAACAGAGTTTATTCTTGTATTATTATTTATTAATTATTGGGTTAATTTTCAGATGAACAACTGTAAACCTACTTTTGCCCCACCATGTATATACCTGGGAAGGAAATTTCTGTTGATAAATGAGTATTCGATTATTTGCATAAGGATATTCAAAATGAAAGCTTTTACAAAATAAATAGTACTGTCGTGCTGGAAAACGTTTATCTGTGCTATATATCAAAATGAGTTTCATGATGAATTGCTCTCTCAGTATATGTTGAATGTCACAGATTTGTAGCCAGACAAAGTTCAACCTTATCTGTTGCATCACTTGTGAAAAATGCCTTTACTGACTAAACGAGAATTTTTAGCACAACTTCAAGGGGAATGGCTATCCAGTTTAAAAGCTCAAACTCCTAGTCATCAGAAATATGTAAAATTTTATGTGTATTTTCCCCTGACTCTTCAAAGTGCTCTTACACACTTTGGTTTTCGTTTCGGCAGAATAATGTGAGTTCGGTTGGAGTGAGATCCTACTTTGGGGAGAGGGAACTGATTGGGGGGTGACACACTCTGTTGAGTAACGTGTCTCTGACCACAGTGCCTTGTGGTTGCCCCTCCCTCCTCACCTCGTGCTCCTCTCACTGCATCAGATCACACCTCAATTAATTGCTGTATTAAATGGTGTAGATGGAACACCACAGGGTTTGGAAGCAGAGCTTTCACATCCTGATAGCATATCCTTGGGCAAATTGTTTAACTTCGTTGAACCTTATTACCTCATTTCTAAAGTGAAATGAAATTGCAATAAACCTTATCTCAAAAGGCAATTAAATAAGATTAATGTATCTATAAAGATAATTCTAACTCCAAATGCTAGCAATTATTTTCCTCTTGGAAAGATTCAAAGGAAATCTTCACTTTATTATTTTATTTTTTTGTCTGTAGTTTAGAGTGATAATAAACCTGTAAAAACAATCAGTAGCTTTCTGTAATCCAAAGTGTTGCTTATACTAGTATGAATTAATGAGGCCTAATAACACTTAGAATTATAATAAAATTATTTTGAAGATTTTAATACTGTATCATAAAAATAAAAATAGAAATGATTCCAGACTCACCTGAGAGTTGCTCGATTAACTGTGGGTGAAATGAAGACCTTAATGGGGCTGAGGCTGGAGTTGGATGGAAGGAGGGTTGTCCTTAGCTGGCTTGATGTGTTTAAGGCATTATGCCAGCTCTTGCTCATGGATTTAGGGTAACAGGACCAGACTAGGGTTCTTAGCACAGCCTCACCATGGAGACTGCATTGATTCCTCTCAGATACATTTTCTCTGCTGGTTAGAATGTCTGCTCAGATACAATTCAATCACTGCCTTTGTTAGCTATTGATAGTTCATCAATTTGCTGTTCAACAAATATTTAGGAGGCATCTCTTGAGCCAGGCGAAGTGTTTGTGGTCTGGAGTGTAAATTCTGTATGCTGGACCACTCAGGAGGACATTAGACGAGGTAGATGCTCAGTACACATTTCTGATTATTTTCGTGACTCTCCACCGTTACAAATAAGTTCTTTGTTTGTATCGCATCTTCTCACATGTGTGTGAGGTCATGCAAGTCCCCAGAGAAATATGACAGAAGATCTGCTTGATGAGATGAACATTTTAATATTTTTAGGGGGTGTAATTCGGCTCACAGCATGTATTCATTCCAGTGAAATGAGTTGTGTAATAACACTCTGTGTCAGATGTTATAACCACAAGTATTCTGTTAGGTAGGTGGCATTGCCCAGTTTTATGTAAGAGGAACTGAGAGGTTCTGGAACTTGCTTTCAAGGATGGTAAGTAGCGGGAGCGTGATAGGAGCCCACCTACCTCTGCTCCCAGTAGGTCTAGTTTGCTATTTAATCATTCCGCTTTCTCATCGCAGTTGTTTTTTAAACACTTTATTCAGGGATAATCATGAACACATGTTAGAATTTTATAAAATTGGAGTGAAAGGTACTTGATGAAGTTTTATGATACTAAACATGGCAAAACATTGTTAAAATTCCATTGAATTAGGTTTTACCTGATAAATTTTTTTGTGAGGTAGAGATTTATTAGAATATCTCTGCATCTTTTCTCTGTATAAGAAACAGACTCCCTTGACAAACATAAAGATGGAATTTCTAGAGCAAATTTTATATTGCTGGAAAAAAGAATCGATTTGGAAGAGTTTATGGTTCTGTTCTCATATGAATACTTCCTCATTATTTCCTAAAAGCAAAGCACTCAGTGAAAATTATCTTCAACTGATTTCACTTAATTTCACTTTTATATGTCAGTTTTTAACATGGCTACATTGCTTTCACTAATTTTAGTAAATCATTTTAGCTGCTTTTGCATCTACCCAGCAAATAGTTAATGAGCAAGGACCACATGGCAGGAGCCATTCTGAGCGTCATGAATGCAGTGGTGAACAAATCAAAATGCTTGGCCTCATGGAACACATATTCTAAACGAGGGAAGCAGACAGATGACAGATAACTGATTATTGCGATGCCAGGATTGCATAATGTCAGGTAGTGCCAGAAAATTAAAACAGGATACAGGAAGAGAGAGTGCTGGGGAATGCTATTCTAGACACAAGGGCTGTGGAAACAGCATTTAAGCAGAAAACTGGGGGGACAGGCCCTGTCAGTTTCTGGAGGTGGAGCCTTCCAGGCTGTGGGGACAGCAAGCACAAAAGGACCAGGAGTGGAGCTGGCTTGTTAAGGGACAGCAAGGGGGCCCCTGAGGATGGAGGTTGGGGGTGGGAGGGAGGTGTAGGTTCTGCCATCAGAGAGGTAGGCAGGCCAGAGCCTGTGGTGTGTTCTAGGCCATAATAACAGACACTGTATTTTATTTCAAAGTGTGATGGGCAACCACTGGAGGGTTTTGAGGGTAGAGAGAGGCGGTCCGACTTATGTTTTCATGGTTGAGTCTGCGTGCTGTGAGAAGAAATGACTGAAAGAGGGATCTGAATAGAAATGGGGAGAGCAGTTAGATTATTCCTTCAAAGAGGTTCCGCAGGGGAGAGTGAATGTGGCTTGGAATCAGAGAGAAATGGACCAGAGGGAAGACACCGTCTGATTCAAGGTCCACTTGGAAAGTAGAGCTGACAGTATCAC